CATGCATGCATGCATGTACATGTACACAAGGACGCAGTTGTGTATGTGTTTTGCTTGCAGTCACCCCCCTCGCATTCCGTGCCCTGCTACGTCTTTAGCATTGAACTCTGCCTTCGATCTGCACCACTTTTCAAGGATCGCATTCGTGCTGTCGGTTGTATGTGCATAATAGAGAGCACCGCATCATACTATGTCGCAGATGTTCAGGGTTGCGGTAACTATGCAATGCGGATGTAGGCTTACTACATGGACTGCATTAGGACAGGCGTGGACTTGATTAAGACAGCTGCAGCTCAAAGCACATTTCGCACTCGATGTTCCCCACGAAGAAACCTCAAGGACACGGTGCCGAGGTTTCGCCAAGGCGTAGGGCTGGGCAAGTCGATAAAACAAAAAACGAGCCAACCAAAGCAAAACAGGAACACCATGCCCTAGGGTTTAGGGGTTTAGGGTTTAGGGGTTTAGGGTTTAGGGTTTCGGATATTTTGATTCTGCGATGTCCCATGAACAAGGTTCGTGGAGGCTATGTCGAACATGTACAAAAACGTGTCATTGGAGGGTGAAGATGTGGATTCATTCGTAAAGGTGCTGAACTAGTCATGTTAACAGTATCGGCATTGTTTTAGTATCTGACGGGCCAGAGCAGTACTGTCGGTGGTATGTCCGCTGTGCGGCTTCGAAATGGCATCAAACTGCGATTTGAACCCTCGGACTGAGTCGCTTGCACTGGCTTCGGGCGGAATCAAGGGTGCAGGTTGCCACACATGCGGGAGCATCAGCCGGTTCTGAAACGGGACCATACCTCGGGTTCACCCCGCTGGCAGGTCGCCTAAGAACCGGCGGAAACACGCAGCAGTCCTGCTTCCCAATGGAACTCAACCCTCGGAATTGTCGCCTAGGTTGCGCGTTGGGGTTGGCCAGACACTCTGCTCTCCCAACATAGGTATTCGCAAAGTCCACTGCCGAAAGCTTGTTCTGCAGCTTTATTCCCGCGTGTTGCCCTGCATGCTGTTTGGGGTCTCTCCCAAGATTGTATTGAACGCTTAGGGGCCAGGTAGAGGGGAGAACTGAAGTCCGGCGAGCTGCAACAGATTGACTACCGCAACAGAGGTTACAGCAGGCTCTGTGCCAATCAGGCAGGGGATGGTGCAATTCACTTCGGATTGTAGCAGGGACCAAAACCGGCCGCAAAACTTTGGTACGTGCTGGCTGTCGTTCTACTTTCAGCGAATGTCCGCTCTTGCGCCACGGACCACCGCACGTACCGAGTCCCAGTTTCCAAAATTTATCAACAGCCGGGGTAGGGCTGTGCTTCCGATTGCTGCTGTGTGTCCTCTGCCTTTGCCCTCTCCGGTCACAGACCAATACATGCAGGCTCGTGTCAGTGACTGACCAGACTCGTCAACGGAGGCCCTCATCGTGCTGAACGTGAAAGGTTACGAGGCTCCACGCGTCCAGATTCCATACTTGCGTGCACCAAGTCCTCAGCTTCCCGATATTCTTTTCTCCAAACTTCCGGCTTCTATGTTTATGGAGCATATATTTGACACGTATATTTATGTACACACACATATGTATACATATATATATATATGTGTGCACGACTGCCCAGGCAAAACCTTGCAGCAGACCTTGACGCACGCCGGTGGAGAACTCGATTCCCTCAGAGTCGACCATTTCCGAATCGACGGAGACGAGGCCGGCTTGGGTTTGATCAGACTTTTGAGAGCGCGCACTCCGATCGAAGGTGTTGAACTTGAAGTCCTACCGCACGGCGCTCAATTAAACCCATCCCTTCAAGCGACAAGGTACCACGGAGCCAACCGCGCCGGCGGATCGATGATCCAGACTGGCGGGCAGAGGATGCTCGGTTTATCGTCAGATTTTGTCCTTCTCCACCTCTTGTTTGTCGGTGCGGCGTGTAGTGGGCCCGCGCCCAGGTCGCTAGGGATACCCTGCGCTCCCCAGGACTGGAAGGCGGAGTCAGAAGACGGTGGTCTCGACGAGGCATCCTTTGCTTCTGGCTTTGAGATTTCAGATTTCGCGATGCAAGCGAGGGTGAGCCGGAGCTTGTTTTGGGACAACTTGGAAGAGCGTGATCATGAATCTTCTGGCGGTTTTGTGCCTTTAAAAGTGGTCTTCGTCCAGCGCGACAGGAACTTCGATGTACTCATGCACTGAGTGACTGCAAGAGTTGTTGCTTGCATCTTCCTAGTTGTGCGGGGCAGCAACCTCCGTCTTGGCCAAAACGCACGTGCAGCCTGCTTTGTCAAGGTCGACTGCACGGCTTCAGGATTGTCGATTTCATAATGAGCAGTGAACACAAAGGGGAGCTTTAGCTCAGTGGGCATGCACCCGCGGAACGAAGCCGGGTGATGGGGCCCAGCCTGTCGAGATTTCAGAAACCATGGAAGCCCAGCCCAACCGATCACATTGCTGCTTTTCTTGTCATGCGACCGGTTGCTGCATGCCAGAGTACTACCACTTCATCCTCCCACAGGATATGATTGAAGCCCACATCTCGCCCGAGATCCCCAGAGCATGCAGTCCAGGAACTGGACTTTTCCAAGTTGCGTATCAAGTCACCTTCGCTGGACAGTCCGACGGGCAGTGGGAACCTCACCTGAATGCTATCTTTTCGGTTGTAGTTGTGTTCATCTTGGTATGTGCCTTCAGCAAACACACATGTGCATATGCATGTGTGTGTGTGTCTGTGTTTGTGTCTAAATGTATGTCTTTGCTCATGCCTATGGCTGTGCACATATGTGTGTAAATGTGGATTGCATATGTACATGTATATGCACATATGCATACGTGTACACCTATCTGTATGTGTATATGTATATATATATATATATTTGTTTGAACGTACTAGCTAGCCAGCAATCTAGCCAGCTCGCTAGCTAGTCGGGTAGGAAGGAAGGAAGCTAGGTAGGTACAAGGGTAAGTAAGTAGGTAAGTAGGCAGGTAGGCAGGTGCATGATCTGCAGTGTTCCTTGAGGCATGCCCTTGCACTCTGAATGCTTACGCCTTACGCTGATACTCAGAATCCGGATCATAGACTGATCATAGAGCTGCCTGTCATTCCTGAAGCGCGAGTTTCCAAAACATGACCCAGGAGCCTGCAGCAGTTCACATCGCGGGTCACCTTCGATGGGGTAGGCAGGAGCAGCGGGGTGAACAAGTGTGAATCTCAGAGCAAGGCTTGGAGCATTGTGAGGTCATGTCGTTGTCATTATCGTTGTCGTTGTCGTCGTGGTTTTGGTTGTGGTTGTGGTGGTGGTGGTGGTGGTGGTGGTGGTGCTGACTGTTGTTGTTGTTGTTGCTGGTTGTTTTGGCCTCTGTGGCTCACAGCACTCTGAAGCGGCCACACTTTGAGCAAAGGCTCCTTGTTGGCAAAGGCTTTGAATCAGAATGAGAGTGAAGCTTAGGCTCGGGCCGGAGTGACGATCTCGAGCCAATTCCAAGCTGGGAGTTATTGGACAGAGCGGTGACACTTGCTGAACCCAGTCTTTACCGGTCCTCCATCTCCTCCTCCGCCTCCTTCATCACTTCTTGTCGTGCTACTTCTTTTAAAGCTAATCTGCATCATCATCATCATCATCGTCATCAAAGCTTTATTCATCATCATCATCATCATCATAATGATCATCATCAGCAACATCATCAACATCAGTTTTATAATCTATAGTTGTCATTCTCCTCATCGTCATCATGATGACATCATGACATCATGACACCATGACATCATCATCGTCTGCATCGTCATTGGCATCCTCGTCCTGCCCACTATCATAACCGTGATTCCTCCCCATCGTCGTCGTCATCGTTCGTACCTTCATCTTGGAACTCTAGTCATTGCTCTTGCAGTAAGTTTCAGTATGAGTGTTCGCAGCAGTATTGGTGCCATGGCCATGATTCGTACTACTGCTATCATATTCGTCTTTTCCATGGCCAAGCTTTTCGGGCTTCTTCTCCGTGCTGCCATTCTTCTTCTTCCTTGTTCTGGTGCTTCTCTTTTGCTGACTTTGTTTTTCGTCCACTTACGCATGGCCTTCTTGCCTTTCCCTCCCAGCTGCTGGAGGTGTTGACGATCTTTCGCCTCTCTCTCCGAGCTCTGGTGCGGGCATGCCTCGACTAACTAGCGAGGTCACCCTTCACAAGGCAGGAGATGGGTTCTTTCAAACTGGTCTATGTTTCGTGGACTTAGCACGGCAAAGATATCGTTGCAGCCATCTGTGGGGAACGGATGGCATTGTGCCCACTGGATTCTTGGACATCGTCTGGTCGTCCGGGAGCTCCGGATCTTCCGGAAGTTTCAGTGCCAGTGTTGTTCGGGCTAGAGCACTGTCTGAGCGCGCGCCACCACCCTCCATTGTGCTATTCCTTTTTGATGTCTTCAGTGGCAGGGATGTTTGAGGTTTTCAATTGTGCTCGCTGCACACTTGCACGCCTTCAGAGTTGCATGGGCAACACAGGCTGTTTGTGGCTAATGAGTCAATGAACCATCTCCATGGGCCTTTCCCGAAGGTCTGGACTCCCGAAGACGCCATGATGACACGCCTCTCGTCCTGCACTTGATCCAGCTTTTGAATGTCATTGCAGATCCTTGCTAACCTGTGCATGATAACAGATCTTCCCTTTTTTACCTGAAGTTCCTTCGGAACTGGAGCAGAATGCAGGCCTGCCAAAAATGTCGCACATTCCGAGTCTAGTGCTGAAGTTCAGTTTTGCGTCGTCAGCGTGATCTGGTGTGGTTCGGTGACCAAGCAAGCCGTGTCGATACTTCTCTCCTCATTTGATAATCCGTTGGCTTGGGTCTGCAGAGGTGGTTTAAGCAATTTTCATTAACTGCGATGAGATTTGCAGCTCATCCACACAGGGCCTTCTGGTTACTGATCAGCTACTGCAAATCCTCCTGCATCTCCTAGTACAGTACTGTGTGATGTTTTCTTAGAGCCTCAATCGAGATCGCTGGTAAAGCCTGGTGCCACTCGCTCTCTGGAGCAGTCAGCCTCAAGTCAAGCAAGCAGCTTTCAGCGGAAAGCCGATTCACCCCAACAGGGTAAGCCATCCAGGTGCTAGATACAGCGATCTCCTCTTCGCCTCCCAACGGTACCGCGCATGCACCCGTAGCTCTTGCCCAATGTGATCCAGGCGCTGCCTCAAAGAGGCTGCACTTCGAGGACCGAAAGCCCGCCAACAGGAGCAGAAGCAGGGTGAGGCGAGGCAGCTCTGGCGACGATTCCACGGTGAGAGGAATCCCTAGCACGTCAAAGCCTTCAACTTAAGTTCTCTGCTGACCCTTTCGATTCGTTTGTGATGTGGCATCGTCGCGACCCGCTGCGGAGGTCGGGGCAGGAGATCGTGGACGAAGGTTGTTCACACTACGTGGTCCTGAGGTCCGGCGGCTTCGGGAGGGAGAGGGAGAGTGCTCCAAGCCGGGGGTCCAGGAGCTTCGTGCACCTTGTCGGGAGATCGTGCTTCCCCAAGACTTCCACTCTCGACCCCAAGTTGCGACCCGAAGTCTGGTGCAGATCCCTGCATTCGCCCTAGATGCAAGATCTCGTTCAGCTCTTTCTCGTTGCAAGCCCCTGGTGGCCAAGACTGCATGTCCAAGTTTGCAGGCCCAACGGTTTCTTCTGCATATTCTGGGATATCGTCTGCACCGTTGCCATTGCGCACGACACCGCGCCTGCCTTGAATGTTCCTTTTGCACTGGCAAGCAAAGACGTGCGGCGATGCGAGGAGTCAAATCATTTCTATAATCTAGACTAGCTGGCAGCTAGAATAGCTAGAAACTTTCATGAAGGCCAACATAGATGAAGGTATGGATGGCTCGCCGGCTGCCTGGCCGGCCGGACGATGGATGGATGAATGGATAGATGGATGGACGTATGTATCTATAGGTGTACACAGAGCCAGTATCATACTCAAGTGTTTCAATAGTACAATGCAAGGCTCGAGAAGGGCGCATGAATGTCGCTGCCAGTGTATGTGTGGTCATTTACCAGACTACAGTGCAGTAATTTGTATCGGTGCGGCTGTTATGCAAGTACAGCATATGTATGCATGTCGACAGCTCGTGTGCGGTATGTCGCCTGCTTCATCCCATGTACATCAGACGTGCTGTGTTTTGTGCCAACCAGTTGCCTGCGCTTGCCGTTGATGTGGCAAAGACTGGCTGGCCCTAAATTCAATTCGCTCGTCGGGGAAAGAAGGGTTACTGGTGCCCGAGGTGATGATTCCACTCTTGTCCGCCTTCCCGATCCATCAAGCAGGCAATGCTTGGTTTGAGGTAGGGTTGAGGGTCTGTCTGGATGTGCAGGCGATGGGCTTGAGGGCTCGCGATAACCCTGATGGACAAAGGGTAGCCTTGGCTTTCTGCTGGCTTCAGACAGCTAGGTGAAACGCAAAGCCATGGCTCAGGGCAATGTCAGCAGAAGCATAGTGCCGACAGGTTCTGACTTACTCGCGCCATGGTTCATAGCCATGTTATGCTTGACCGCGGAAGCTGATTGGTGACCAAATAAGCAGTCACTTGTTCACTTTCACGCTCGGCTACCCAGGTGTGCCGGAAATTCTCGAGGCAGTTTCGGGCTGCGTCTGGATGACGGACATCCTGATCTCCTTTCTAAGGGGCTTCATCGACACGCAGAGAGGCCTTCACCGAATGGGTACAAGGGAGGGGCGGAGGATAAGACCAAATCATGCGGTGGTTTTGATGACTGTTTGAGTGTAATTGTGAATGGCTGCGATGCTTCTAGAATGCCCTTCAGAGACCATGGTCGCACGGCTTCAACAATGATTCCTCAAAGCCAGCAGTTGCGTAGCGGCGATATCCCGCAATAAGTAACCGAAGATATCCCACAATAAGTAGCCGAAGAGCCCCGAGCTTGTCTACGCCTGTAGGGCTGGTGGAGATGCGCTTGCGATACATCGCTTATCGCTATGTCTCCACCTGGTTTCTACCAGCCGCTTGAATGTGCAACAGGGGAGCACTGCAGCCGTGTAGGTACGGCCTAGTAATTATGTGCATCTACGTACTATGTACATGTTCGCGGTCCATGCCAAGGATGTATCCATGGCCCTGGTGGACGGTCTGTCTTTGTTCTTGGTGGAGATGAGAGATGTGGAAGCCCTGACATTGCTCCGCCTGTTCCGAAACCTGAGATTAGTCAGGCTTCTGAAGATGACGGATCGTTTCAGGCTGTTTAAGGATGTGATCATCAGTTTGGGCTACGGCTCTGAGTGGACGTCCGTCTACATGGAGACCGGGGTGCCTTGGACCGAACTAGCCCTAGGGCTTTAAGCTGGCTTCATGCTTCCGACTGTGCATCAGACTTTCCTCGTACTCGTACTAGGTATTGCTACGCGTCCTGTCTCGTCATGCTATGTATGCCATGCGCATACATGTCCAATATGCGTACTTCCTTCATTAACAGGCTTGGCCTCGGATGGCTCGTGTTGCTTGAACACCGAGTGCTACCGTCCCACATCCGAGCCTCGAATCACGAATCACTTCTCGCGGGCTGTCTCCTAAACGGATGAAGAAGTGCCTGAGTGTGGAGTGATGTGGAGTGCCAAGCACCACAAACTCCCTTGCCCAAACCTGGAGGTGGGTGTCTTGAAGCACCTGGCCTTCATCGCCTTGCTCTGCCACTTTACCGGCTGCGCTTGGCATGCGAAGCTGGGCAGATCCCGAGAGGATGCATGGGAAGGGCTGCCAAGTCATGTCGTTTTGCCCCTCTTCCCAAGGATCGGAGGCCTGCCTGGCATGACCACCTGGGTAATTGCCCACAGGAGCTGGCGAGAACAGGACCTGGGACAAGATGATGTGGGTAAAAATCGGTATACTTGCGGCTCTCTGTCATCTCGAGGCTTGGTTTCAGATGGTTGGGAAAATCATGATGTTCGGGATCAGCCAGCTCAAGTCGAGGAAGAGACTTTGCACATCTAGTTGTCGCACAGAGGGACGGGTCTCCACTGCAGAGAGCCTATGCGAGGCAGTCGCCCGGCAACATCTGCAGGAGATCAGTGTCTTTGAGCACGACTGGCTTTACATGTACATGACCTCCGTGCACTGGAGCCTCACGCAGTTCACGCCTGCTGCCATGGACGTGGTGCCTCGGACTGTTTTGCCTCCTGTGCACTTGCTGAAACGCGAACGGCATGCTCGAGAGTTTGCAGGGAGCTGGAAGCGAGATGAAACACCAACAAGGTCATTAATCCCTTGCTTGACGCTTTCCTCACCCTCCTTGTAGTTCCAGGCCCCAAAACCCTAACAGCCCGTGTCAGAGCTGACTTCTTTCCGAGGTGGCGGTGAATGCACTGGAGAGGATCTTCTCCGTCGTGGTCACTTTGGCCGGGCTCATAGTCTTCAGCTTCTTCCTGGGCAGCCGCTGGGCGTTCAAGTGCTTGTAGAGGTTCCTGTAGACTTTCGCAGGATTTGCGGCTGTTTTGGCTATTGGAAGCTTTGCAGTGTTAGTCTTGAGAGTCGTGTGTGGGTATGGTTGTGGTGCGTGCGATTGCGAGGGCCCCCAGCCCCAGAACTTGAACCCCAGAGAGGGACCCGCAACCCAAGCCGCCCCCCCAACCCCCACCTCTCAGCTGAGGTATCAACCAGAACTTGGCGCGGCTGAGAAGCCTCCATGCCCAGGAGAGGCTCCAGAACCGGCGCCTTGGGTTTAGGTTTTGGGGTCCCGGTTCAGGCCTTCCGGCTTGTCATGTGCGTTGGCTGACGATGCTGATGACGATAGTTTGTTTTCTCGATGGTGTTTTGGGGGTGGTCAGAGGGTATTGCGGCTTGTTTTGCTGTGCCACTGCCGGTGTCATTTTCCAAGCATGGCTGCTATCTGCAAGCTCTGTCACAACCGTCAGCTAGAGCAAGCATCGTGAGTAGGATTGTGGAGAGGAGCCTTGCAGTTGTGAGAGGTCCAGGGCAGAATACTCCTTTTGCACGCTGAGGCTCGTGCGCCGCTATGTCAGCGAGCGCCACATCTCAGTGGAGTTGGGCGCAGAGATCCTAGCTTGGATCAAGCAGCGAAGGCCATCGCAGACCTCAAGTGCCGAGAAAGTCGCTGCTGCACTTGTATACTTTGCTGAGATCTTTGGGGCTCTGGGGACCGGCTCTTCCGGCCCAGCGAGCGCACCCGCGCGGGAGGCGTGGAAAGGCCAACAGCAAGACCGTCTTCGGCGACATCAAAGCCCTCGAGTCGCTGGCGGCGGCAGTTAGAGCTCAGCAGTTCCTCAGATTGTCGACTTGTGGCTTCAGTGCCAGGGCCGCTAATTAGGAGAATGGAGGTCCCGTGGCGAGGCTGTAGCCGCAGAGAGCCTGCGGCAAATCCCAAAAGACAAGCGAAACGGGCGATCAAAGTCTATCAGATCATCAGATCATCAAGGCCCCTGAAATCTGGATGTCTTGCAGCTTGGCAGAGGCATCGCACATGTACCGAGGAATCTACCGACCAACCTCTTGACTGAGCTGCAGCAAGAGGTGGGCCCGTTTGTCCATCTAAAGCCTCGATCCAAGCACAAAAGCATGACCAGAAAGACAGACTTTGGCAACGTCTTCTCAGGGCTCAAGGGGAACTATCAGAAAACTGCAGAAGAGCACAGCCCATCGCCACTTGGAGTCCAAGCTCAGCCCTAGCAGGTTGGCATGCCGGTGCTGGAGTCTCACGCCATGCTGAAGCACCTGGACACTCGGCGAAAGTTTCGGGCTTGCAGCGTCTTGCGATTGGGCATGGTGCCCTACGGAGGCACCAGAGCAATGACGGCCGGCCCTCGTCATTTCTGAGGATGTAGGAAGGACTCACGCGACTCCTGTCCTTCAAGCCATGAGCTTGATGCGAAAATCCACAGCTACAAGGCCCGAAGTTCCTTATGCTGGCAACCATCCATAGTATTTTCAAGATCAACTAGTTCTGTTCTCCGAGGCTGGTCTTGGCTATCAAGACGCGGTTCGCCTCTGTACAAAGGCAGGACCGGTCTGAGATGTGGAGCTATACCCTGTGAAGGAAGCGGGTAAGCAATTCGCTCGCATCGTACAATTACTGTTGTGCTGCTGGCCTGTCCGTGCACCTCGCACAAATCTTCAGCGCTAATCCCCTACTAGCGGTGGGTTTCGGACGCTTGCCATGCGAGCAGTTGAATTTCCGCCGCTAGTAGGGGATTAGTAGCAAAAGCAAAGCATTCGCCGCCTCCGGAACGGTGCGTTTTCATGGCTAATCCGCTACTAGCTGCAGCTTCGGACGCTTTGCGGACGCTTTGCGGACGCTTTGCGGACGCTTTGCGGACGCTTGGCGGACGCTTGCGGACGCTGCGAACGCTTGCGAACGCTTCGCACGGATTTCGCGTCAACTCCCTAACCCCAGACTCCCAACCTCTAAACGAGGACCTTTCTGCTGCGCATTCGGGAATCAACTGCAATTCTCCAACATTTCTGTTGCACGTGAGTTGTTGTGGGTAAGACTGAAGTTCGTAGGGATCTGTCCTTTACGCTGCACAGGCATTGAAAGAGGTCAGCACCGTCTTTGGCGAGGCACGATTCAGTTTTGTCTTCGGTCGCCGTGGCTTCTGCGCGCCAGCTTGTCTGAAACAAGCCAATTTCTACTGACAGTTCACAGTTCACAAGTTGCAGCTGCACATTGTTTATGACGCTGAGAACAGGGAGCCATGAAAATGAATACCCGTGCAATGCGATGCATGGTAGGGGATGTGGCCTGCCATACAGTGCCCTGCCGTGCCATGGCGTGGCATGTATCCATCGATCATCGCTCCACTTCGCTCGGCTTAACAAATAGGTAAATAGGTGTGATATGGGATTGCAGTATCCGATGAATGCTTCGTCAAAGTTTATAGTATCATATATGATCTTGGCCATGCTGCGCGGCACAGGAGCCTGAAGACTTAGCTATCTTGGAAAATAGGATCCCGCCGAACTGATAATGTCGGCTGCCCACATTGCTTCCCCATTCTCAGCGGCCTTTGGTCTTCCCGTGGACAGCAGGAGCTTTTCTACTCCGGCGCGATCGGAGACAAGATGTTCTTCGTGGCGCGCCATTTCATGGGGTTTGTTTCCCTGTTGGTTCCCTGTTGGCTGGGATCTTGTGAGGGGCAGAATCATCTTCAACAAAGTCGGCCCATCCCAAGATGAGGCAGTCTAACTCATGTGACCTTCGAGCTGTTCAAGGAGCCTCTCACCGGGTGTATGTCATGCTCCGTAGCCAGCTAGGCTAGGGCCTGGCCCTGACGGACTTGCATGACTCGCCACACCCCTCAAAGTCTTGAAGGTCTGGAAGCCTAGAAAGTCTTAAACAGCTCGAGGACGATTGAGACTTTGAAACATTGCAGGCCTACATGTTTTATGAAGAGACATTGAGGTGCGCAGCGGGCGCCTGAATTACACGTGGGACCTCAAGCCGAAGGACAGTGAGGGATTTAGCTCAGGGCTGCTCTTCTCTGTCTTGTCTACTTTATATGACAAGAGAGCGCACTCAGCTTCAGCCGAGTGTTTAGAGATCAACAAGCATGAACTAAGCTCGCTTGCAATCTGCTTCAGCCTGAGTCTTCGAGCCCTGAGCCCTGGGAGGAGATCGAGGACGTCCTTCCACAGGGCCGTGTCGGTGAGGTCCCTCCGCAAGCCAGGGAGGTTGTGGGACTCGTTCAGAGAGCACTTCCTTGGAGCTGTGAGCACTTCGGCCCGGAGCTGGTCGGAAAGCCTTAGTGACAAATGCACACGGCAAGCAGTCGCCCAAGGCTCAAATCTTGAGCATTCCGAGACCCGTGCATCCGAGCGGTCCCGCAGGCCACTCTCTGGCTGCAGTTGGAGTACTCTGGGCGCCTTGCATGTGCGGACCACAGCGACTGGGCTGGAGAGCTGGCCCGTCTATATTCCCGTCGTGTTCTTCACTTTTCAGGGTTTCAGGCTTTGAGGATCTTTAAAAGGGGGGTTCGGGCTTGCACATCCAGGCGGTTTCGGGTGAACTGACTGAAGTTGAAGCATGCGGCGAGGGATCTGGATGGCGCAGCAGTTGAGACCTTGATCCGGACTTTTCGAGTCACTGCCGCTTCCGATGCTTAAAGCTTGGAACTTTGCATCGGCTCAGGCGCCCATCTCTTTTTCCTGGATGCAACAGCCTTTCGCAAGGCAGCGCTGCTCTGCCTGTGGTCCGCCCAGAGCTTTCCAGCACCCCAGGAATGTGACCCACCGAGCTCACTTTTTAGCCGTGCGCCTCGCAGGTTCTTGCCAAGAGTGAGAACATGGAAGTGCTGACCGTCTACGCCCGTCTCTTCAGCAAGCTCTTCCTGGCGCGCGATGTCGCAAGCAGGGGGGCGTATCAAGGGGTATGCACTTTTGGGCTCAGGCGGCTGGGAACATGGGAGCAGATTTGAAGATGAACATGCCCCAGCGGTGCTCAGCGTCGATGCAGCAGCGCAGGAGCAGAAGGACATGGGCCTGGCCTCCGACCTCTTCGGTGACGACAGCCACGTTGCAAAGCTCATGCGTCGGCTGCGCACCCTCCAGGCTGTGGGGGGCTGGAAGTGCCCTTAGGACCAGTACCCCATCCAGGTGCATGACGGAATACTCATGAATACTCTGAAGTGTTTGTCTTTTGGAACCAGATGCCACTCCTTCCCATGTCTGAAAAGGCTTTTGAATTCCCTTTGCTGTGCTTAGCTACGATACCAGAGTCAGCTGTGTGCAGCAGTGAACCTCTCCCACCTTGGGTGACGGTATCTGACGGAGAAACGGAGCTGGAGCTGGAACCTTGCAGGTTGGAGCCAGCATCCTCATCACCGCGGACGCAAGCATTATCACCGCCAAGCCCATCTTCCTAGCATGGAAGGCAGGTGTTGAGACTGTGAGGGGGGGGGGATCGACCGCTTCGACTTCACCGCACAGCCGAATGCAGCCACGATTCTTCTGCACGGGTGCATCTTGTCTTGTGCCGATGACGGGCGTAGCCGCCTTCAAGACTATCTGAGTGGTTGCACAACTGTTCCGCGTTTCCTTGCAGTTTCCACGCTAGCCAGCAATGCCAGTGGTTTTGACTTGATCTTTGAAATCTTGGAACATTGGCAGCCTTCGGCCTGAACTCCTCAAAACAGAAACCGCTTAAGGCAACCGTGAAGGGGGTGTCTATCGCCTAGAGCTCCAAGCCAAGAATAAGCGGTCCTAGCCAGGCGGTGGCGCAAGCGAAGCACCAACGATCGAAGGGTCTCTGTTGGCCGTTCCTCAATCGAGGCTGAGATTGCTGATTGCTGCTAAGCTTTTTTCAACACCTGACCTTGGCTCTGTTGGCCCTGGATGGATGTGAGATGTCCAGCAAAATGCGACTGGTCACAAAGAGACTAGTATTGATGTTTGTATTGCTGTACTTTTCATCATGGTTTCGTTTCATGAGGAAATGTGACAAGCGCTGGTGATTTTATTGAGTTATGTCGTTTTAGTCGAGTCAGTCGAGTCTTTATCAGCAGTATCCTCACCACCACCAGAATCGTCACGATTGATACGTCGCACTGCGGCAACTAGTATGTGTTAGCGCATTATGACCGACATGAAAATATGTGACTGAGTATTGATACCAACCTTGTCTTCGGTCTTGTCACTGCTTAGGGTTTCTGATCCGAGTCTCTTATTCGTGCACGGTCTCATCCAGGGTATCTTGGACAAACGACGAAAGATTCAGAGGAGGTTTTCATTATGGGGCGAAGAAGCCCTGAGCTCTCGAGCCGTCTCCTTCTCGCGCCAAGGCCTTAAGAGTTCCTACAGTAGAGCACAAAACAAGATAGACAAATATGTTAAAAATATATGACGACTTGCTCTTTGTAGGGACTTTGTTAGCTCTGGAAGAAGACGGCGGCGAAGCGACTCCTCCGCGACCAAAGGGCCAGGTTCAAGACTGCCTGAGTGTTCGACTGGCTAGGCAGGTTATGCTAACGGCTCCCAAATTTCGTGGTCATCTGAAAGGATGAAGGATGAGTGATGAGTGACAAGTCGGGGGATGTTTGGAACGCGCAGGCAGCCTTGATGAGAGGTCCATTTCAGAACACCTGCAGACTTGTGTGCATCTGTTTAGGGACCAGTTGTGTTTATGCAGCAAGGGTTGGACCACAAGCAGGGTCAGCGGTGAGAGCAGGTAGCAGAACAGCAAGGTACAACACGAGCGACACGCCGTAAGCCCCCGAAGCATCGGAGACCTCCAAGGGCAGTCCTCCACTGAGCTCCAGTTGAATAGCCTGTGCCCTCCCAGGCTGCAGAAACGTTCTTAATTGGTTGTCAGGATCAAGCAACATCGTATGTAGGTGAACGGGCATACAGCCTTTCTCACTAAGTGCGGCTCTCACCTCGTAGAGGTCAGAGGCCGTTGATGTGCAATTATGCGGACATCCCCGTGCATGCTTCGAGATCCGAAGCTGTGTTCCAAATCTGGACACTTCCACTCTTGAGGCGACACGGAGTGCCGGAGGGAGAAAGAAGGTAGGTGTACAAAGAACTACTTGGACACACACACAAACACACACAAACAAACAAACAAACAAACAAACAAACAAAAACAAACAAACAAACAAACAAACAAACAAACAAACAAACAAACAAGCAAACACACACACACACACACGCACACACACACACACATGCACGCACACAGAGACAGACACAGAGAGACACATACATTTTTTCAACATGCACATGCTTTTACGATGTGTATTGCAAGAGATGCAT